CATCTATCTATCTATCTATCTATCTATGTTAACTGTGTGACGCTAGTCTAGAAAGACATTCTCATCAATTTATTTGGGATTAATTCTTGTTTGCGAATCGTTTTTGATAATGGCTTTCATGGGGCGTGTAGAGATCCCAAAATATTGTCACTAAGAATATTTTGATATGGATACGACGAATAAACACTACCATAAATTTCTAAGTTGAGTTTTTAAATTATGTGAGCATTTATCTCAGAATCTATGGTTTTTTTGACCCAAATAGGGATGATGATTATAACATAATCTCAGTAAGCTCTTTTAGAAATGCAAAAGTGCAATTTCTTACATATATTTGAAATTTGCATACATAGCTTTAAGCATATAACTCATCGCAACAATGATATTAGTTAGATTTTCATTTTTTAATTATTTACAGAATTCCTGTTGTAATTAAACAATATTACTTAATAACTTCGATGACTTTCCTTAGTATATAAACTAATGGAATTCTTTTGTACATATCTATGTATCTAGGTAGTTATCATCGTGTACATACATTTTTTTAATTAATCACGCAAACCCACGCACACTTACACATATCTATATATATATATATAAATTTATAGCCTGTGTCTGTTGATTTGTTTGTTAACGAACTTCTAAGGTTTTGGAGACCCCATAACCAGATATATTCTAAAACATCATTACCCAAGGTACTTGAATAAGCATATTTGATTTTGATCGAAGGGGGTCCCCAGGCGCACAACCACCACTCAATATGTTTTAATCTTTAATATAAATTAAATTTAAATTTAATCAAGGGAATAACTCCTTGGGTACTTGGTAAGTATATTTCATTTTGGTCAAAAGGGGTCCCCAGGGGTGGACAGGAAAACCCCACTGAATATATTTTCCCTTTGATTAAATTAAATTTTAATAAGGGAATGGCTCCTATCCAGAATATAGAAGGAGAAAGACAGAAGATGAAGGTCACATCGGCTGGATTAAAATGAGAGAATATGGACATTAAATCAATGGTAGTGCCTTACAATAAATGTTTGATGCGACAATTCAACTGTCATATCCATGCTGAAATTTGCTTATCAATTCATCAATCAAGTATTGCATCAAATACATATCAAAGGGGTCAGGCCAAGCACACCCATCACTAAAAATCTTTTTCCTTTGATTTAAATTAAATTCAAACTTGAACAATGAAATGTCTCCTATCGAAAATACAGAAGGAGAAAACCAGAAGATTGAGGTCACATCGGTAAGATCATTGAGTACTAATGAAATGCATCATTGTTCGCCACAAATTATAACAACGATTTAAAAACAATCATCATTTTCTCATAAAAATGAATGAAACGAAAGGTGCGGGTAATTCAATATATATATATATATATATATATATATATATATATATATATATATATATATATATATATATATATATATATATATATGTGTGTGTGTGTGTGTGTGTGTGCTTGAGTCGGATTGAGAAAAAAGTGAACATTTGCGTTCCCATATCTGTTCTAGACTATGACCATATTCCCAGATTTATATTCCTAATACCTGTGACATTCTATTGGCTGTTTAGTCGCAACCGTTCAATAAAACATTTCGTAAATCCTGCGATTTTCAGCCTGATAATCCAAAAGGAAAATGTTTACTACTTATAAAGTTTCCAAAAACTATATTTCTGTTCGCGTGTGTGTGTGTGTTCGGATGTGCATGTTTATTTACATGCCTATACAAAATGAATGAGAAACATTTATATTCAAATCAAGGACTTTTATTTAATTTCCCAAATATCATAAAAATGTTTGAGACAAATTAACATTTAGTGGAATAATCGTTAGTTAATTAATGAGATTTTATATTTTTCACAGGCATTACGTTTTTATAAATATTATAAATCTCTATGAAACTCGTTTTCGCTTTTTAAATAACAACTAGTGAACACATACAGAAGTACATTTTGTAGAAAGGATGTTTTATTCCTGAAGTAATAAATGAAGTAATTATCGCGTACGGCAGAAGCTTTGCATGAATAGTTTCTATTAACATCCCAAGATAAATTTCTGATCGTTAATGTCGATTTGAACATGATGCAAAAGGTTTATTTTCTTCATTATTGATTTGAATGAGAGAGCAATTTTCAACTGAATGTTCAATGTTTAAATCTGGTGATACATCTGCTTGCCATTGACGGTGACCAAGAATACGCCCCATTATTAAATACCACAAATCCGATATCTGTAGTATAGAAGGGATCTGAGAGTATTGTAATCGAGCGCCTGAGAGCGGATTTCGAATGACAGTCGAATTCTTTGTTTTCGCATACGAGCAAAAACACTTTGGAAAACTATGAATCTAACTCCTCCCACAGCTATGGGTTACATAGCAGGATTTTTATCTAGAAAGATCAATTTTTAATCTTTAAAAAAATTATTAACTCGCAAACAATACGAACTATTATTTTCACAATAAAAAATATACTTCGGATTTAAATAAAGAGTAAAGAGTTCATGCGTCTTAAAAAAATGATCAATCAATCACTATCTAGTATACGAGACATTTTGAATTGAAGATGATGTTATTGATTTGGGTTTTAAGAGCCAAATGAATATCTCTTGGTTCTTACCCCTGTATACGATTTCAAATATGAAGAAAGATTGTCTGCTGACGTTCATCTTTATACATCAGTGCTTATATATAGTTTAATATATATGTTGTTTTAATCATAGACAGTTTTATTGATTTATTCATAGACAAGTGTGTAATATTATGTTTTCGTGAGACTTAGGAGAATGGGTTTTCGTCCTTCTCACAGTGAGAAGAAAGCTGAAGGATAAACACGCCAATCGTCACGTTTCTTTTTCTCTTCCACCAATATCTTATCAATATCAAGAAATCTGAAAACTGTTAACAGTGTCACAGCAATTTTCATGGCAAAGTCACTTCCATTATATATTATATTCCTTCTTAATTTAATACTAAGTGCTGCCTTCCTGTTCTTCTCTGGATCAAAATGCTACGCGATAGATAGCATTAACGAAAAGACGATATTTTTTCTTACTGGTTTTTATTTGCGGAGGGGGGCAGATAGGGTGGGAAAGAAGGGCTAAGTGAAGGCATGTCGCTCGTTGGCTTAGCGCCCCTCCGCGTATGGCCTTAGCCTGTATCTCGATCTGGGAAGCGCATCAAAATTCTTGCGGTTCTCTCTTGAATTCGCGCCTTTTTAGAATTATGACGAAACCCCTGAAAAATACAGTCCATTACTGTTAGAATACCTGCGAAGTATTCTGGCCAGTCGCTGATCATCCTAGGCCTTGCCTTCGTATTCTGTAAAATTGTTTCCCTTTTTTTCCTTTTTTTCAAACTACATAGTTATATGTATATTAAATCATTGTCAAGTGTGACTTCTGGCTTATTCGTCCCTCTCTGATTATGCCTCCAGAACCAGCGCCATATACATAGGGTCAAATGAAAGAAATATTATACAGCATAACAAAACAGGTATTGCACAATAATTAAAACATGACAGTTATTCCACCAACAACCGCATAAATGCATGAAGTGGAAACACCACATCCGGATTATCCCGGATGTTGTTATCCTCAATATCCAGCAAAGTCGATTTCTCGCGTTGAGTCGTATTATGAAACTCATTCTCGTGGCGTGTCATTCTTCATAACACCTGTTGCCCGAACACAAAATAAAATTGTTCAAAGCCAAGCTTGTGGCTGTTAAATGTTTTCGTTTTTTTTTTATCTATTTATTTTCTGCTTCGAGGCATGGGTAATTTAAAATGTCTTTTCGTTTGCTATATCATTATATCTACTATTTCAACAACTCTGAAATGGATACTAGTTATTTAAGAATGATTCACAAAAAAATGTATGCATATATTTTCATAATTACTCCTTTTCATTCCTTATTATGGACATATCTTCTCCTTTGAATTCAATATCTTTTGTTCTTTATTTCAGAAATACACCGAACATATCTCTTCTCGCGCGCATGCGCGCCCGCACATATTTTTTTTCTAGAATGCCATGTTCTTTCAAGATGTAGTCGATTATAATTATCCAAAAGAACCATTTTTTTTTATTTGGCCATGCATTCTTGCGCAAGACTTTATTTTCCTGTTAGCTTCTCCACATTACTGAATTCAGAGCATTCTTCCCCCTGGAATAGCTGCTACTGAAGACGAGAGAACACAGTAAATTTAACCCATATCTAGTGGAAATAAGAGATGATGGATTTCACGAGTGTGCTTGTGCAAAATGACACATAACGGGCAAGATGAGAAAATGAACTCGGATCGACGAATATTTTTCTCCCTTGATAATTATTTCATTTAATGTAACATTTTTGACATTAGATTTCATTTTATACAATAATATTAGGTTACGTTGAATTATTTTCGGTTGTTTTTTTTAAATTTATTTTATAATATAAAAAATAAAATCCACTTTTGTTTTGTTGAATTATATTATTTCAAATTTCTTCTTGCCATATATCCGGTAGCTTTTCTATATTTTTGAGTAAAATTCTGCAGATTTTACAAAAAAATCCTCAAAGAACACTTGAATTTGCTTTTCACTGCGGATAATTATTTTCCAGTGAAAAGCAAATTCAAGAAGCATTTTACAGTGATCAAGAAAGGAAATAATCGTTTTGCGCAGGGTCAGGTGAATATGGCGTATTGGGTATAACAGACATAAGGTATTCCAATATTTCTCCTTGTAGTAGGCATTCTGTATATAGATTTGCGTTGTCATTTGGGGAAGTATGTTTTGCCTTTAATTCAGAGTGTACGCTTTTTTGCCAAAATTAAGGTATATCAGTGCCTTTCAAATTTATTCTTAACTCTAACGTATGATGAGTAGTTACGTTATTTCATTTATTATTATAATTGATTACCTAAAACTGAAATAACTTATGGCTCAACCTGATTTATTCAGACACATTCTACTCATACGAGTTTGGAGAATATGTGATCT